ATACATATATCAGGTACCTGATAGGTATACTATATATATAAGTACCCGATATGTGTATGATATGTGTATTATTTGTGTATGATTTTCTACATTTTGAGTACTCGATATATGTAAGATATGTGTAGGATATGTGTAGGATAGACCATTTTTTTACCAGTGCTACTGCTAAGACATTGCACTTAAAACTTTACCGTCTATGAGTACCATCTAGCATAGTAAACCCCACAGTAAAGTTTACCACACCTTAGTGGTATTGTAGAGTGACCACCAAGACTAAAGTTCACCCAGGTGATATGCTAGCAGTGACTACTCAAACAGGACAATAGGCTTTCCAATGGCCTTGTAAAGAACGCTAGGAGGACATCATGACCCTTTGTTGAAATATGCCACCAATTAGAAAAAAACGTTTCGCAACATTTTTTTAATTCTTTTAATAAAAAAATGTTGCAAAAACGTTTTTTCACTATATTACTTTAGAAAGAAAGGTTTTGCAACATTTTTTTAAATTCTTTAATAAAAAAACATTGCAAAAACGGTTTTTTCACAATATTATTTTAGAAAAAAATGTTTCGCAACATTTTTTTAATTATAAAAAAATATTGCGAAAACGTTTTTTCACTATATTATATTAGAAAAAAACGTTTCACAACATTTTTTTTAACACAGGTCGAAAAGTGAAAAATTAGGCATCAATCAGTCACCAATCGATCACCAATCAGGTACCTGATTGGTGACCGATTGGTGACCGATTGGCATTTTCGCTAAATACCGTCACCAATCAGGCAGTTTGCTAACTTTTGATCCAGTGATCAGAAAAGGATAAAATATAGCTCATTGGAATCGTCTCAACGAGACGAATCTAATGGTAGTAAAATCATATTTCTAGGATTAATACTTGATGAGAAATTAAGTAAAATATAAAAATAAAAATGTATCATTTATATTTTATTTAATTTTTTATTAACTATTAATCCTAGAGATGCGATTTTACTACCATTAGATTCGTCTTGTTGAGATGATTCCAATAAGCTATATTTTATCCTTTTCTGATCACTAGATCAAAAGTTAGCAAACTGCCTAATTGGTGATGGTATTTAGCGAAAATGCCAATTAGTCACCAATCAGTCACCAATCAGGTATCTGATTGGTGACCGATTGGTGACTAATTGATGCCTGATTTTTCACTTTTCGACCTGTGTAATTCTTTAATAAAAAAACGTTGCAAAAACATTTTTTTCATAATATTATATTAGAAAAAAATGTTTCGCAACATTTATTTCAATGCTTTAATAAAAAAATGTTGTGAAACGTTTTTTTGAAGATAAAGCTTGAGTCTGGCAGTTAAGGTTGCCTGCCTAAACCTCTCCAAAATTCTACAATTAGTTTCTCTAAGATTTTACTATAGTTTTATTATAGTTTCGGCAAAGTTTCAGCAGTTTCAGCATTTATAATAAGTTTCGTCAGGTTTCGTCTTTCTTCAGAGTTTCGCCAACTTTTTAATAAGACTTTCATATAGTTTCAGCAAAGTTTCGCTATTTCAGCATTTTGCCAACTTGCCAAAACCCCCTAGTTTCTCCAGCAACCTTAAGTCTGGCTTGGCTCAAGCCATGATTTTCATAGCTCAGCTCGGCTCACTTTAGCTTGAGCTAAAATTTTTATGGTTCAGCTTATTCTGGTTTAGGCCAGAATTTTTTTTTTCAAGCTGAGCTGAACCAAACTGTAGTTTGGATCAAACCAGCTCATGCAGAGCTTTAATCTTTATTATAAGTAAGCAGGATTCTGGAATAACAGATATTGACAAATATATAAACTTTGTATTTGTTATATTAAAATTTACTGACTTGTATGAAACTGGCAAGAAAGAATAACTAGAAGTGTTTATGAGAAAAAAATCAGCATCAACAAATATAACTAATAAAAAGCTAATGTCTTTTAGTTCTTTTTTGACAAATATAAAAATTATAGATACCACTATACACTAATTACAGAATGAAATACAAACAAAACTTCTAAATGTAAAAGTCATACAATTTACTTCAAAAGAAAAGAACTGTATAATCAATTATATTAAAATTATTTTATAAAAGATAGATGATAGTTAGTTGACAGTTTGCCAAACTCTCCAACTTCTATTAGACATAAATGACTAAAGAATACCATCTTAAAGGATAATAATAAAGGTATAAGGTTGCTTGTCTAAACTTCTTCAAAATCCTACGATTAGTTTCGTCAAAATTTTACTATAGATTTATTATAGTTTCAGCAGAGTTTCGGCAGTTTCTGCATTTATAATAAGTTTCGGCAGTTTCGCCTTTCTCCAAAGTTTCGCCAGTTTTTTAATATAACTTTAATATAGTTTCGGCAGAATTTCGCTTTTTGGCGAAACGCCATCTTGCCTAAACCCCTAGGTTTCGGCAAGCAACCTTATAAAGGTAGTAATAAATCTAAAAAAAATGACAAAAAGCCAATATGAAATAAAAAAGAACATTTCAACAATTATGACTGGATACAAGCCTATGCTTAAGGATAATATCTGAAAAATTGTTATTTATGATATCCTCTTCAAATAGACTTAGCTTGAAATCCTTAATTTTCTTAAAACTTGGGATAATATTTTAACTATAAAGTTTAAAATGTAGAAAAAATACTTGACACTCTCCTCTAAGTAAGGACATTTTTAAGGTGAACTTATTCCTCTAGCCTGGAATTCCAACTGATAGTGCATACATAGTTATTCTACCACAAATTAACAGGTGGTTTGATGCTTAATAAATTAGTTTAGTTGTTGTAGTTGTTGTAATCTTTTATATAGTTTCTGTTCTAATAAAGTATCCAAATGTGCTGCAGCCAAAAAAAAAAAAAAAAAATTTACAGATGATTCAGTATATATAATATTATTTAATAAGAAAAGTAATATGTAAAATTTATTTAAAAAATTTTAAAAAAGTTAAAAAAATAACTGAATACTAATAGAAACTTACAATTAAAGAGAGTTTTTAAAAATATAAATTGTGGTTTATTTTAAAGTATTACAGATAAAAATAATTGTATTGTTAACATTAAAGCAATTCTAATATAACTAAAATTCTATAGAAACAAATCGTTTAATATTAATTTAATATTACTCAATAATTTCTGCATATAATTTTATATTTCTTTGCACATATATTTATACATACTGGACTAAACTGGTTTAAAATCAAAGATAGTTGAATTAATAATTTACTTTTTTCAACTATTTAGCATTATTATTATCATGTAACCCATATAATAAATAATTGTCATTTTCTATTTTACTAAGCGGAAGTTTAATGCTATAATTCCGGCCAAAAGTTACGTGATAACAATTTTTTATGGTGGGTAATTTAAATAGGTTAACATAAGATAAATGATATTTGTGTACAGATATATTAATTTTAAACTATAAAAAATTTTGCAAATTTAAGATTCCATTAAAGTAGCTTCTTTAAAATTTTCTAGTGCTTTCTTAGCCCTTCCACTGGTTATACTTTCACGAGATATTTCAACCCCCTCTTTAAAATTTTTTGCTTTACCATGAACAACTAATGCAGCAGAAGCATTTAAAAGTACAAAATCTAAAATTGGACCTTTATATTTATCTGAAAGTATTTCCATCAAAAGCTCAGCATTTTCTTTAGGCGTACCACCTTTGACATCACTTATTGGATGAGATGGAAGGCCAAAACTAGCAGGTGAAATTTTGTATTTTCTAATATCAGATTGTGATTGAGTAACATGCCAAACAGTTGTTTCGCCCTCAGGACTTATCTATATAAGTAAAATTTAGTAAGTTAAATCAGATATTTATTAATTTTTTAAAAAATAATTTATTTACCTCATCTAAACCAATATCACCATTAACAACCATAGCTTCTGTAATACCTTTTATTTTTAAAGTTTTAGCAACTAACATACCAAGATTTTCTGAATGTACACCAATAACAACACGTTTTGGTTCAGCAGGATTAGTAAGTGGACCTATTAGGTTTAATATAGAAGGCACTCCTATTTCACGACGTGTAGAAGCAAGATGTTTTAAGGCGGGATGAAAATTTTGAGCAAATAAAAAACAAAAATTTGTTGAATTAATTATATGAGGAGCTTGTTTCGGTGTAACATTGGCAATTACACATCCAACGTTTTCTAAAATATCTGCCGAGCCACTCCGCGAACTAGCTGCTCTATTACCATACTTTATAAAAAAAACTTTAATTAGAGAAAAATTTTTTTACACAGAGCAGAAAAACTTACTAAATACCTTGGCAACTTTACAACCTGCACCAGCGACGACTATTGATGCGGCAGTAGAAACATTAAAGGTATTCATATTATCACCCCCAGTACCAACGATATCAATAAGAGAATCTTGTAAACCTTCATACATAGACAAATCTAGTCTTAAAGCAAATTTTAACATTACGTTTGAAAAAGTAGCTACGACCTCAGGATCAAAATCTTTTTGATGCAATTTTAATGCCACTAAAAATGCAGCTATTTGGGCAGAAGTGGCTTTTTGTTGCATTATTTGCGTTACCACGGCTTCTACATTATCGGTTGTAAAAGTATCAGGTCGTAAAATAAGCGTTTGAATATTCTTTACTATGTCTGAATCTACCATTTCTCAAAAATGTAAATACTGAAATTTTGAATAAAAAAGACCCATTATATATAGATTATCTATGTAGATCAAATTGCAATTTTGTATAAAATGTCATTTGTAATCATTGTAAAAAAAAAAAAGTTTTTACTAATGGATAATAATTTTACTTGTTTCTTTTATGGAACACTTGTTTTTCCACAAATATTGAAACAAGTTTTAAATGATGGTCGAAAAAATACAGAACCACCAATTAATGTAGAACAAATTCCTGCGACATTAAAGGTATTATAATAATAAAATTTAAATTAAACAATCATCATTTGCTTAATTTCTTTTATAAAGGGATATAAACGACGCAAAGTAATTGGAACAGATTATCCCGCAATTTTAAAAGGAGATGATTTAAAAGATGAAACAAGAGGTGTGTTAATTAGAGGCTTGTCATCACAAGACATAAGAAGATTAGACAACTTCGAGAGTCACGTAAGTGATATAATTATTATGGTTTTTTATGCGATTACAAATATTTAATTTGCCTTTCTTCAATAGCAATACGAAAGGAAAAAAATAAAGGTATATATTGAAAATGAAGGGACACCTATAGAAGCTATTACTTATGTTTGGAAAGATTCCCCTGATTTGCTGGATGAAAAAGATTGGAATTCTGAAGAATTTGAATGGAGTAAATTTTCAGACTATTAATTACTATTTATTATTTAAGAATATGGTTAATACCCTTTTATGTCTATAAATTAATTCAATGTTTCACAGATACTAAAAAAGTTTGTGTAAATTATATTCAAACGCTAGTTATTTCGTGAATTATTATTACAAATAAATATCCAAAATTTATAGTTTAAATTGTAAAAAGGTGTGCCGAATGTCTAATAATCCTCTTTCAGGTTCGCAAGATACTAATAATAATGTTATCGAGACATCGACCAACAGAACTACTGTAGATCCTACAAATACAACTATCGAAGAAAGTCCAACTGCAACTCTAGGAAACATAAATACTTCTACACTAGAGCTTTCGGACATTATTATACGTGCTTGTTCGAATTGTGGCGAACCCGCTCAATACTTATGTAAAGCTTGTGGTCAGTCGGGACCTCGTTATTGTTCATCAAAATGTCAGAGCGAAGATTGGACTAAGGGACATTCCGCGACATGTTCAAAAGCTACGCGCGCCGGCCAAATTAATGAGGAAGGAGGGGAGGAAGAAATTGCTATAGTTAGAAAACCTAATAGTAAAGTTCACGGACGTGGAAATGTTGCACAAATTATCAATAAAAGTAGGTTATGGACAAGTTTTATTTATTCATTTCTTTATTCGATACCTATTTAATTTTTTTTTCTTTTTTTTTTGATATAATAAAAGGAAAAACAAATGAAAGAGGAAACCCAATTTTCCCTTCGACTGCAACCGAAGTAAGTGATTAATGAATAATCCTATTTTCTTTTATTGGTGTATATTAAAATCTCCTTTTGTTAGCCATCATTCACGAACCAGAGACCTTTATCTACAAATCAATTTGATGATGATCAAGTCGATGAGTTTAAATTCTATATGCAACAAATTTATAAAATTATTAAGCCTGTAGTATTGTGTATTTTACTATCTGTACTTTGGGTCAAAATATCAATTCTTGCTCCAAATTTTCGGTGAGTTTGATTTAATATCGGTTTTGTATTACAGTACCTATAAAAACTAAACTATTATTCTAATATTAAATTGTAGACCACAACATCCAACTCAACAAATTATTGATACTTCGGAAGATGCATCTGAATCTGCACAAATTTTTAATTCTTTCTTAACAGCAGCAGTTATAATAGGAAACATCATTGTTGTTACAATAATAATTGTATGTTTATTTAAATATGGGTTCATTAAGGTTAGTGTAATAATTTAATATTATTTTAATATTATTTGATTAATATTAATTAAAATGCATTATATAGATTCTTATAGGCTTCTTTATGGTAGTGGTGCTTTTGCTTCTTGGATTCATGGGATATTTGTTAATGATGTAAATATAGTTTTTAAGCAAGTTAATTAAATCAAATTGGTATTTAATTTCAATTTTATATTTTCAGGGCAATTTTACAAGTTTTTCAAATTCCGATGGACTATGTCACACTTAGTTTTGCATTGTGGAATTTTGCTGCAGTAGGACTTATTTCTGTTTTTTGGAAAGGGCCTCTGTTATTACAACAAACTTATTTGACTATTATGTCAAGTTTGATGGTGTGTTAATCAATCTACTTATATTTTAGTTTCAATGCAGCATAATATACATCTTTTTTTCCTCCGTCCTCCGTGAGTTTTTTAGGCATTTTCTCTAACAAATTTATCGTCCTGGACTACGTGGATTTTATTGGCATTATTGGCTATTTGGGGTATGTAAATTGACTATAAATGAGAATATAATATTTAATAAGTGATTTATTCTAATGTCTTGCATTAAAAGATTTGATTGCTGTGCTTTGTCCTTTTGGTCCTTTACGTATTTTGGTTGAAAGTTCGCGCAATGACAAGAGGGAAATTCCAGCATTATTATATTCCGGTAAATAATTATCAATTATAACCTTATTTTTTTAAAACACTTGTTTATAAATTTTTAATTCATTTATTTCGCTATAAATAGTAAATGCTGTGTGGCTCATGGCATCGCCAGGTCTTTCAAACAAATTTCGAAAATCACTCTCGTCAGTATCATCATTTCAAGCAACTAGTGGGGAAGAAATTCCACTGTCTGAAAATATAAGATATAATCGTGGTGAGGGCGGTGTGAGTGATGAGGGCGGTATTAATTGTGATGGTACCGATGAGAATTCACAAATTCCAAGAAGACAATCTTCGTCCCTTCAACCACAATCACAACCACCAAATAACGTTTCATACGATGACGAAGAAGGTTCGATTCGCCATTAATATTTTTGAATCTCGTTATCTTATTTATTTATGAGTAATTATTAAAAAGAATTTTAATATAAATTAGACGAAAGAAGTGGATTGAAACTAGGATTAGGTGATTTCGTATTTTATAGCGTTCTTGTAGCTCAAGCTGGTATGTAATAATAAATTCTATTTAAATATTAATTTAAAGTTAAAATAACGAATAACTTGTTGTCAATGCAGCTTTATTTGATTGGATAACAACTGTAGCTTGTATTGTTGCCGTTCTAACGGTAAAATATTATTTTTCATTTTATCTAAACTTTACAGAGAATAAATTACTAATTAATTTTTTTATTAGGGCCTTAACACAACTATATTTCTTCTTGCAATTTATAAAAAAGCGCTTCCCGCATTACCAATTTCAATTGCTTTTGGAATGTTATTCTACTTTGTTGCGCGTAATACTTTGGTTCCGTATGCGCAGTCTCTTGGATTATCCTTAATTGCTGTGTAAAAATTAATTTTATTATATAAAATGTATTTATATATAGATTTTTATTACGTAATCTTTAATTTGTAATGAGAAGTATTGTATTATAGAAAAAATTAATTATGGCATTATTAATTAATAAAATCAAATATAGACAAGCTTCAAGAATCTAATGATTGTGCAAGTTTTGGTTCCAATTCTATATTCGAATGTAAAGATTTCGTTTCTGATTCTTTTCTTTTATGCAATTCTTCAATTTTATTTAGACCAAGCTTTTGATTTCCACCTTGAGACGTATCACTCAAAATATCTTTAATTCTATCCAATCTTCTTTTAAGTTCTAAATCATCAACAATGCCACCACCTTCTAGATAATCGATTTGCATATCTTCAAGAGTTGTCGTAAAAGGTTGTCTTACTTCATCATACATATCAGCAATCTTTGTGTCTAAGTTATTTAAAGTAACAAAATCTGAAGAATTATAGTATAAATTTAATAAATTTATTCTTCTTTCTCTACATTTTCCTAATTCTCGCTTACGATAATTTTCGAGAGCATTTTCTCTTTTCATTTCACTATATTTAACACTGCAAAATTCTTTTGGATTAGAAGATAAGGATAAAATTTTAATGGTTTCATTAATTTTATCTAATTTTGCTTTTCTTTCTTGTCTTATTTTAATATACCATTCTTTTTTTCTTTGGCTTAATTCTAATTCTTCCCTAAATTGCTGATTCCTAATTCTGTTATTATTATCATTTGGCGGTTGTGCTAAACTACCATATTCAAATCTTTTTAATTTTAATTCATTTTTAAATCTTTTTTTATCATCAAATTTAAAAGATGCTTCAGAAGCTAATCTGGGAGTTTCAACAACACGAATCTTTTTCTCTTTAGTTTCTCGTTTTGCTGTTATATCTTCGGATATTTTCCTACTCTTTGACACTTGTTTAGTAGCTTTATTTGATTTTTTTGGAGGTGGAGGAGAAAAATTTGTTGAATTACATCCTTGGTTACCAACAGTAGAAGTTGATATCGGTAGAGAGAATTTTTTATTAACATTATGACATGAAAATAAAAATTTAACAAGAGAATTTCTTGTTTGTTTTGTTACAAGTTGAGGAAACATGGGAAGATGTTTGCAACCGTTATCTGCCGATCAATTATAATTTGTCCATCTTCGAACCGATCGATGACGTTTACGTGTCTGTTTTTTTCGGTTGGTTTAATTTATTTTAATTTTTACTAAAATACGAACTTTAGAAGCAAAGATAGTAAATTGAAGATAAGGTGCAACAAAGCGTCAGAAACTCATGGAATTCTGTTGTTCTTACACTTGCTAACAATGAAATTTTACAAATTTACATTAAAGAAGTTAAAATTTCCCAGCCACAGTGATCGGCAATTCCTTGCGTCACTCACCAATCTATGATGCGATTTAAAATTTAATTGATTGGTGAACATCAATTTTTTTACAAATTTAAACGAGATCAAAGGACATTATCAAATAGAATTATTCTGCTTTATATAATTTAGAAATATATAATGAATTCCGGACCACTTACACCAACTTCTCAAACTTCAAATCGTCTTAGATATAAGCTTGCAACAGAGCTAGTTTTTATAGACAATTCAGATGGAATAAAAGATCCTTATAATGCTGCTTCTGTGCCTATTTATCAGTCAGCTACCTTCAAACAATCTTCAGCAACCCAAATGGGAGAGTACGATTATAGCCGAAGCGGTAATCCAACTCGTTCACATTTAGGTGAGTGCTTGGCAACTACGCTTAAACTCTTACTTGATATTTACAATAAGCACCAATTCATCCATAAGTGTAGTGCAGTGAAAACATTTATTGCGCTATGCTGTAGCTGGGTCCATACTGTCCAAGTTTCCGGAATTCTGTAATAAATTACTCGAACAAATACATTTATTATTTGATAGAAAATCATATTGCAAAAATTATGTCTGCCAACCGTGCTTTTGTGGTTACCAGTGGAATGAGTGCATTAGATGTGATCGCTCGTTTAGTTAAAGCAGGCGAGGAAATCATTGCGGGAGATGATTTGTATGGAGGTAAATTTTCTATAATTAAATAACAATATATATATATTATACTTAAATTTGTACTTTTTTAAGGTACCAATCGTCTCCTAGCGTTTCTCAATAAAAGTTGCGATATTAAAACACATCATGTCGATACAACTTCCGTGGACTCACTTATGCCATACTTGCATCCGACTAAGACTAGACTCATTTTATTGGAATCACCAACGAACCCATTATTTAAAATATCGGACATTCCTACCATTGCAGCTGTCGTGCATGAGAGATGCCCAAATGCTTTGGTAGTGGTTGATAATACAATGATGTCTCCTTATCTCCAAAGACCTTTGGAATTTGGAGCTGATATTGTAATTCATTCTGGAACGAAATATCTTAGTGGACATCATGATTTAATGGCTGGTGTTATTGGAGTTAAAGATGAAGTTGTTGCAGAGGTAATTTATATAACTAAAATTCGAGAAAACGTAAGTTGATGATTTGATAGCTCAATTCATTTTTTCATTTTATATCTAGAGAATCTATTTCACCATTAATGCAACAGGATCTGGTCTTCCCCCGTTTGATTCGTGGCTGCTTCTTCGTGGTATAAAGACACTTGGGGTTCGCATGGAAAAACAGCAAGCAAATGCTATGCAAATTGCAGAATTCCTTGAATATCATGGTTTCAAAGTTATGTATCCGGGATTAAAATCACATCCACAATATGAATTACACCACACTATGTCCCGTGGACCAGGTGCTGTATTAAGTTTCGTGACAGGAGATGTAGAAGTTAGCGAACGAGTTGTTGAGTCAACGAAAATATGGGCAATTAGTGTCAGTTTTGGATGTGTTAATTCTTTGATAAGGTAAGAAGAATAGTAATTAGTATATGATTTGTATATTTGCAACTCATTCCAAATGGATTTTAATTATTATAAAATAGTATGCCATGTAGGATGTCTCATGCTAGCATTCCTGCTGCAGTACGGCAAGAAAGAGGATTTCCTGAAGATTTAATTCGTCTTTGCGTTGGCATTGAAGTAAGAGTTGTATTTGATTATATAAAATGACAATGATTCTTAGATACTATCGATATAATATTCTTTTTTCGTATAGGATGCAAATGATTTGATTGAAGATTTATACTCGGCATTAGTATTAGCTAATGCTATTGATGTTGGTCAGCAAAACGGAAATGCATGATAACGGATAATATCAGCCACAAACTTTTCTATGAAGTACTTTATTTAAATACTATAAATGAAAACGCATATGAATCTCACTAGACTCTTAATATAAATTCGCAATACATAACATTATTTACATTATATACATTAAATAATAAAAAACTTCGCGTGCATGACTCGGTTCATTTTAGAAGACTGTGTATAACGAATAATTAATTCGGTTGTCACTTAATCATGTGAATATTCGTTATGTCAATCTGATGATCTCCAAACAATATAATTGGCTTAATCTGTCACATATTAGATATTACTCACTCAATACACTTCGTCTAAAAGAATTAGAATATATATAAAGAACCCTGCATCCACATCAGACCTTATATTTATGACTTTTTTCAGGGCACCGAATTTTGCAATTATAGCTGGTAAATTCAATTTATGTCTTTCTTAAATTTTTCAAAATCTTTGCCTTAAAAAAATTGAACTTTGCTCTTTTAAACAATATTTTAGCTGCCACAGAAAATTGGGGAATTGGTATCAACAATGAATTACCATGGAAACAACTTCTTAAAACTGATATGAAATATTTTGAAAGAACGACTAAGCGAGTGTTACCTTTAAATAGTGCTCTTACTACAATTACACCTGAATTGAAAGAAAGTAATATTCAAAATGCAGTTATTATGGGACGTAAAACATGGGACTCTATTCCACCAAAATATCAACCTCTTAAAGATCGATTAAATATTGTAATATCTAAAAGTCTTAAGGAGTCAAAGTAAGTTCGTTCATTCATTATTAAATATTGTAAAAACACAATGTTAACTTATTTTTTGATCAATAGAGATGTAAATCATATTATTTATCCGTCTTTAGATGATGCAATATCAAATCTTTCAAATGCTTCCTCTGAAATCTCATCAAAAATTTCAAGAATATTTGTAATAGGAGGAGCACAAATATATAAAGAAGCAATTAATTTACCATATTGTACATATATTTTATTAACGAGAGTATATAAATATTTTGAATGCGATACATTTTTTCCTGAAATAGATGAACAAATATTTAGTTTGGCTTCTCATGAAGAATTAGAAGAAGTCGTTGGTGAACAAGTTCTAAAAGGACGTCAAACTGAAAATGGAATTGAATTTGAATTTTTGTTATATAAACGAAAGTTTTATGAAGAAAATATATTATTTAACATGTAGTAATTATATATTTTAAAGCCTATCCATGAAGTGAAGGCTAGGAATAGAAAAGATAATCAAAATGGGGGAAATATAAAAAATAAAGGCTGAAAATTCTTACGTAATATTTTTTTCCGTTGCTTTGTTTATATGACTCTAAATATTAGAATTTGGAATTGATGCTTTAGGTGCGTCACGTTAAACTTATTAAATTTTACAGCGCCATTCGGTAAACAAATTTCTCAATCCTGATACGTTTTCTGAAAAGTTATATGATTTACATTGTGAATTTCTAAGTGCCATAGATCATTATGTCTAGTAGCATATAAATGATACAATTCAAGAGGACAGTCAATTAATCTCGTGCTTTTTATATCTTTGGCATGTTTCTTCAGTAAGACCCAAAGAGTTATTGTAAGTACCACCTCGATCCTTACGAGTTCGTAGACTTGAGATTTTGCAAATAATTGAAAAGTTATCAGCACTTCTATATTCAGCAGGATGTGGTGGAAGCATCTTTAAAGAAATAATGTTGAGAAGCTTAGATTAAATTAAAAGGATATTTATATCAAATAGCTTGAATGAAATTAGCTTGATGAATAGCGCAGTAAAATTTAATATGTTTGTTAGATTATCAATCACATGGTTTATTACAGGGGAGTACGAATAACAGCCTTGTTTATCTAGTAATTCAATTTGTTAAAAACTATAATTAAAAAAAGATTGTTTAAATTGAACTACTAGTTGATAAAATAATCACAAAAACTTTTTTTAAATTTACTTTAATTTAGAAAAGAATAATTTAGGAAAAAGAGAAAGCAGTTTATAGTAAAGCTATATTTTGCTAAAATCTAAAGTTTTGAAATTATCTTTTATAGTAAATAACTTAATTTATTTAATAACAAAAATTATATCTGAATTCTTTAACTTAAAATATATTAAATTGTATAATTATTTTAAGTTTCTTATATGGTGCTGGAAGTCTATACTTGATGAGTAGTAAATAGCTAATGAAAACCCATGATTTTGAAAAAAAAGTGTAAAAACAGCAGAATTTAAATATTAAGAGAAAGCCTTAGAATGGTACTCAGTAAATAATATCAATCTGAATTGCAAAATAAAATACATTCCTGTAACTTTTTTGTTTAAATTTAGGCCAATTATATAAAAATTATCAAATTTCAAATGCTTACAACTTTTTATTTTTTTGAAAAAAAAATCTGACCAGTAATTTAATAATACTTGTTATGAAGAATAAAGTTATTGATTTATTTCCTTAAAATTCTATTTTTATTAAAATGTTAAAAGATTTATAAATATTTATAAATAGAGTTATAATCTGGATGAGATCAATCTATCAATCCAGCAGATTCATCTGATATTCTGATTCGAAACTTTTCAGATCATCTGTTAGAGTTTCAAATCAGATGGCAGATGGATCTGGATGGAAAACGGATGGATCTGAATGATCCATTAATTTTTTAAAAAATATATTATTTAAATAAATTTAAATAAGGGAAAATATACATGTAACAGGTATTATATCATCACGGATTTATGTAATTGTGTAACTTATGTAATTATTATATGATTACGTAATAAAATTAGCTTATCAAATAGTCTGATTAAAATAAATAATTCTCTTACTGAAACGAAACTTTGGTTGATATCCCACAAACATATTTATGGAATTTATTACCAAAAATTCTACTTTTATGCCTTAAGATTCATCTCTTATAAAACAAACTAATGACAACTCTACTTCTTATACTCAGTATTTAATTCATATGGAACAAGATAATGATAACGCTAATGAAAATATTACATTATCAACTGAAACAGGTTTGTATCTATTTTATTTGAGTTTCTGAACCAGTTCTTTACATTAATATGGTTGTTTGTATTCTATAGTATCTTTATTAGGTGTTTTGAATATATAAACTGCAGACCCAATTTTTCTAGGTTATGCTCGTATTCTATAATTACTGAAGGAACCTATTTTCTGAACTTTAATATAGCTATTCACTTTTGTACAGAATATGGAAGATTCTGTGACTTTACTGTAAAAAAAAAATGAAGTAAAAAAGATTCTAATAGTAATTTGCGGCATAGGTGTTTTGATTGTGAATTTTCTGGCTCTGGACTAAAAGAAAATAATCGTATCAACAAGCGAAATAAAGGAAGTAAGAAAACTGAATGCCCTTGGATCATAAACTTATTACATTCAATCTCTCATTCTTATATAAAAGTTACAAAATTTGTTAATAATCATAATCATCAACTTTTAGCTGATACAGAATTATTTTCAACAGAATTTAGATCACTCTCAGATGATATAAAGCAGGATATAAATTATTATGTTGAATGTGAAGTTTGTGATTTTCCAACTATAAGAGCCTTGCTTAAACCAAAATATCAAAACCAATTCATGTTATCTCAGAATCTCTCTAATTATATACAAAAGGTTAAAAGAGATAAAGCTGATACATATAATGATTCTGCAAGATTATTAGAGAATTTATTAGCTCAACAGCAAGAAGATCTATTAATGCTTGTTATTTCACGAATAGATCCAATCACTTTACGTTTAACTGGTATTTTTTGGATGAATTCTAAACAACAATTATTATTTTCAAAGTACAATGATGTGATTTTACATAATAACACAGCTTTAACCAATTGATATAAGTAGCCACTTACTTTATTTATTATTGTAGACTGCAATAACAAAATACGTTTATTAGCACAAGCTTTTGTGCAAGATGAAACAGAATGTAGTTATGTATAGTTAATTCAATATTTAAAAAAAACTTCTATTATACCTCATGTTATCATAACTGATGCAGATCCTGTTATGTTAAAGGCAATAAAACAAGAACTACCAAACACATTTCACATTCATTGCATCTTTCACATAGCACAAAATCTACCTAAAAGACTTAAGGCAGTACTTGGAAGGGATTATCTTAACTTTGTTAATGATTTTTATAAAGCACAAAATTCAATAACTGTTGAAATATTTGAGAAAAGATGGCAAAATTTAGTATCAAAGTACAGTCAAACAGAATCTTATTTGCATAATATACTATATAAAAGCAAAAAATCTTGGGCTTATTGTTTTACATTACGTTTATTTACAGGAGATATTCAATCAACTCAAAGAATAGAATCATTAAATGGAATTTTGCATAAAGCTATTGAATCAAGTATGAATTTATCTATAATTTATGAAAAAATTGGAGAAAGAAAATCTAAATGATAGGTATGTTAGAATTAGAATTAAGATTAATAATTAGAATCAGGTATTAGGATTAGAATTAGGGTTAGGGTTAAGGTTAGGGTTAGAATTAGAGTTAGGATTAGAATTAGGGTCAGGTATTAGGATCGGATTAGGGTTTAGATTAGTGATTAGGAATAGGATCAAAAAATAATTAGAATTTGCATTGATTAACTATATAATAATTTTTTTCTATAGATTTATCACATATAAATATGCCAAACCACATTATAATCAACCTTATATGGTTGCTGTTATTTTTAAGAATATCAGCACACTAATCTCATATTGGTTATCTTCTAATTTATTTGAAGAGTTCAAGAAACAAATGGTTGAGTCTGTATCATATAGAGCAAGAATTGTTCAACAATTAGAAGTGTTGTTAGATAAGCAGTAACAAGACTTTATAGTATTCAAATTAATGAGCAACAAGGGGAAAACATAGAATCAACTGACTCAATTCCAATTCTTGTTGAAGATAGATATGAAGACAAGAAGATTTATATGCAAGAGATAATCAAACAACTTAATGGTGATGAAATTTTTCAAATCTGGAAAATAAGCTGTTTATTATCAACATCAAGTTTTTCGGATCATTATATTTTACTGATGACAAATAGATGGCATATATGTACATGTTTACTTCTTATTAATAGTGGCATTATATGTAGACATTACTTTAAGCTTATGATGGAAACAAATGATGCTAAATTTCATATATCAATGGTTCCTAGAAGGTGGTTTAAAGAAAATTTACAATCTGACAATGATAATATTAATCAATCACTTATTATTACACTTGGGGAGGATTATACAGCAGAGGTATCTAATAATGATTCATTTAATAAGATTGATTTTAATACAGAACAACCTTCCATTTATCAGCAAATAAAAGAAAGTGGTTTACAAAAACAGGTAAAAAAGAAGAATGAGTTTTCTTCTATGATTAGTTTAGCAAAAACTACTATTAATTTAGCAGTAGAAGTTGGTGATCAAATGCACTTTAAAAAGATGCTTACAGAATACTAAGATGAATTAATAAAGACAAAAGAGAGTAATCAATCTAAAAGGAGATTACAGGCGATAGAAAATAGGGAGAAAAAAAGAAATAATTAGTGTAAATGATGATGATAAAATATTATTTAGTTCCGATGATGTAATTTATTCAACTGACGAAATTTTAGAACCACTTGAGCATATAGGAAAAGGTAGACCATCTAGTAAACGTTTGAAATCATCAGTTGAAGTTAGTAAAAAGGGTAAAAATAAAGAAAATCAAAGGACTATAGATGGTGTTTCGGGTAATAAAGGTGCTAGTAAAAGAGGTTATGGTTGTAGACGATGTGGTGATATGGGTCATAATGTTAGAACATGTAAAGTAGCTCAATAATTTAACAGTAACTAATAACTTATATTTACTATGCTTACTAATTTCAATAATTATATTGTAGCTTGCTAATAATTTCGATATATTGTAATATATAATTATATATAATAAATAAAAATAATGACGTGTCATGTGATCAACCTGTGAATTTAACGGGGTTATGAATAAAAATTTTCTTTAAATTTTAATAAAAAAATAAAAAATAATTTTATATTTTGATACTTTACATACAAGTATAAAAAATTCAGTGTTTGGATTTTCGAACAGTCGAACGGTTAATTTTGGCCAAAAAGTACTAGTCTCTATTAGGTGATCAGGCGACAAAATTGCAAAGTTTACGAAATTGTTTTAAAAAAAAAAAAAAAATGGAAACGAATGTTCTTTTAGTGTAGAATGGCAAAATCTAAAAAATTTCCGAATAAATTCGGGAATATGCTACAAACATGGAATATAAATATGGATCAACTTTTAAACTATTGACAGTCTTTATGTTAGAATTACACAGATTTCATTTTGTTTAAAACTGAGATATTAAACTCAATAATTTAATTGATCTGAACAAAATATTATTAATAATATTTTAACTCCGAGATCTGAATTGATAACCATTTAAAATATTTTTAATTTGACCCCCAAAATGCATATCAATGTTAAAGGGATTCATTACAGATACGGTAATTAATTTTTAATTAGCCAATTGTTTTCGTAAATTATATCATTTACAATTTATAACAATGGCTATTTGTTAACTTAGTTTTTATTCATATATGTGAGATTTACCTAATCACTAAGTAATATTTATAAAATTTACCCAATTAAAAAAACAAATTAACAAACATGAAACTTAATTTTTTATTTTACTTTAACATCATATGTTACTATTAATATTTAATTATTTAATTTGTTAACCTTAAATTAAATTGAGGGAGAATACCCGGATCTAGTTTATTATGAAAAATGTTCATGCCGGAATTGTTTGTTTTAATTAGTGTACCTCTACAATATTATGCTTTTGTTCATAAGGATTTTCATTATTATTCAAAACTTAATAATAATTGTTACTTACCATACGATCAAAAACGTGTTGATATTCTAATAATATACCATATGAAACCTACGATTTTAGTCTTATATTGATTATCTATTCATTCGTTATCTTTGTTTATCTTTTAAAGATAAACCGTAATCATTTTTTCATTTTTTTTTTTTTCTGGCCAATTAATTCACGCATTTAAATATCGTGTCATTTTCCTAATATTTCGTATATTAGTAAATCTTTTTTTTTTTTNCACGAGTACCATGGTAATAAAAAAAAATTTTTTTATTGTATTTTAATGTATGACCTAAAAAAAAAAAGTAAGTTAATGTTTGTTTTTTTATTTTAATTTCCTAAATACATTAATTATTCTTGACATGGTTAATTTTTAATTTTTGAAAAATAAATTAAAGAATTTGATTAAAAATTCTCTCCTACCTATTTTTAGTTCACATTGTTGCTTTTGGAGCCGGGTTTAGATTTCCATTTTAAGTACTTTCGCATATACCAAACTAAGCATTAGACCATGATAAACAAGATAACAAACAAGCATATCAAAAATGAATTTTTTTAAAAAAAATTTGTCCAATAGGAATTCTTACACTATCCTGAAGTCGTAAATAATGATAGATTACACGTCAATTTTTTGTGTGTGGTCATCAGACATTCGAAGATTGTTACATTAATACATTTGTCTTTATTTGGTTATCATGTCTAAACTTAAAATATCAAAAAGTGATCAAACATACATCGTGATAAAGTAATTGGCATCTATGCTTGTACTTTTGTATTTTATCCTACATTAATTTAATTTTATGTGCGACAATCATTCATATTGCGCAGATCATTCCTTTTATGACAATATATGATCTTGTTATACATTAATAAATGACGGTTCCATAAAAATTTAGGAGAAGCCTTAAAATATTACAAACAATTTTTTTACTAGCAGAAATAGAAAAAAAAAATAAGATATCTCATCTTTTTTTGGATATATGTTAAAAGATCAAATTTATTTGATTTAATATTTAAATACCTGAAGTTTTTCAATTTTTTACACTTTGTCCTTAGTACTAAAGTTCCTTTGGTTCGATATCTTTAACCATATTTTTTTATTCAGCCAAGTACTAAGACCATTAATGCTTGTGTTGCCGGTCTTCCTTTCATAGTTTTCATTCACTTGTATCTTATATCTTTTTATTCAAGAATTTACAAGTGACTTTACGCGTTATATTATCATGAAGGTAAAATTCTTTTTGAACCTTTATTTGCTTATTTGTTGTCGAAATAATTTTTATTTACCTTACTTATCTTTGGACTTTACAACTATAATTTAACTTCTTTGTTTTATCTTATGATTTTATTTTCTGATCAAAATAATAGTTCGGAAAACAGATCCTTAATCAACAAACTACAGAATGGGCCGCTCATTATATTAATTATAAAGCTTTAAAAAAGATTATCAATAGTCTTCAAAATGCGCAACATAACGAACGATCGTTACCTCCAACCCCTGTTACATTTGGATCTTTACGAGATCACTCACAACCTGATGATTTTCAGATTTTTAAACAACAACAAAAAACTGCCTTTTTCTTCAAACTTGAGAGGGAGCTTGAAAAAGTGAGCTCTCTCAAAAAAAAAAAATTTTACTTTAATGTTTGATCCAATTTTAACTAAATCTTTCTTTTTTAAATTATTTTTCACTTAGGTGAATACCTTCTATCTTCAAAAAGAAGCTGAATTCAAGGTCAGATTACGCACTTTGAACGATAAGAAAAAAATTTTGCTTGGTAATGAACGAAGATTAGCTCGTTCGGCGTCTCTTGTAACATTAACAGAAGCATTCCAGAAATTCCAACAAGATTTAAGTAAATTGCAGGTAATTTGAGTTATTTGTTTTTTTTTTTAACTAAACTTTTATTGTAAAAGTCTAATATATTATTACTATAAAAATTCTAGCAATTTATTGAGATCAATGCTACAGGTTTTCGTAAAATTTTAAAAAAATGGGATAAACGTTCCAGAACTAATACCAAGGAACTTTATCTTACGCGACAAGTTGAGATCCAACCATGTTTTAACAGAGACATTATTGCTTATCTTTCGGACAATGTTGAAAACAATTTGTTGGATCTTCAAGATAAAAACATCAAGTTGTCCGCTACTCCACCGTCATCACCGGATCGAAAACATTCGGTTGGGGAATTAGAGGAACCTGATATTATGGATGATATTGAAATAGAACTTTTCAAAGCTGTCACAATAGGTACTCCTACAACAGTGCATGAAATACTAGAAAGGATCCGGCAACACCAAGGCGAAGAGGACCATGATATCATTTCACGTGTCTTTTGGCGAGCATGTTCAGAGAAGAGTTCTTCAGTCGAATCTATTGAATATTTGATTAATACAAATAAAATTAACTTTAAATATATGGATGATATTAGTGAACGAACGTGTTTACATGAAGCTGCTATTGTGGGGAAACTACCTCTTATGAAACTTTGCGTTGAGCGTGGTGTCAGGGTAGACTGTACTGATATTTATGGTAGAAAACCGTTACATTATGTTTGTATGTACGGTCATAGTGAGGCAGCTACATATCTATTGTCTAAGGGCGCAGATTGTAAAAGTTGTGATCATGATGGTTATAACCCATTAATATATGCCGTAACGATTGGACATACCAAGTGTGTCGAGATCTTACTTGAAAATGGGGCTCAAATCGAACCACTTGAGGAAGGAGACCATAATCACATACCTTTATCGTTAGCATGTCAATATGGTCATAAAGATATTGCTTTATTATTACTTGATAAAGGAGCAAAAATTATTCCTGATGCAGAAGGTATAACTCCTTTGCACTTGACCGCTCGTCAGGGTCATCATGAATTATTAAAAGTTTTGACAGATCATTGTACTTGTACTTCTTTGGATACACCTGATAAATATAAAGGCTGGACCCCTATTTTTTATGCTGCTAGTGAAGGCCACATAGAATGTGTAAATGTTTTAACACAGGCAGGATGCAAAGTAAATATAACTGATGATGCAAGACATTCTCCAATTTATTATGCTGCCTGGGAAGGCCACATAAAATGTATCGATAAATTATTACAATTGGCAGGTGGATTTGTAGAGACTACTGAGTCGATTATGAATGAACAAATGATGGTAGTTGAAAATGGGCAAATCGATGAACAAAACGATATAGATCTGGATAACAATATTAATAATATACCATCTCTAAAATTACCGCCTCCAATATTACCTTTTCGAATTTATGGACATAGTTATTTAGATAAAAAATACCATATCCAAATTACTCTTGGACATCCTTCATCCAAAGTGCCAAGACCTCCTATACATTTATATGGTAACAGTGAAATTTCGTCTTTGAAGCTCGTCATGTCTTCAAAGCCGGATACGGGTATAATTCCACATAGCATAATTTTACCATTAGGTGATGATCGAGAGACGTTTTCTTTTCAAGTAGATACTCTTAGATCTTTTTCATTGGAATTTGATATTTTCCCTACTTTCGGTTCCAGAGTTATTGGTAGAGGTGTAGCCTTACCTCACGTATTTGATATTACAAATGATCACGAAAGAAGAAATAATTTAGTAACCGGTGGTACAGGAGGAAAAATTATATCTCCCTTGTTTGACACACATTTAAAAGTCGTCGGTGAATTAGCATTTGAATTTGCAATTGTTAAGCCGTTCCAAGGCGTTCAGCTTGAAATTGGTGGTCAAGTAGAAACTTATTGGAAATCTACCAATCCTGTTACTCTTCCTAATTCTGAACAGCAGCCATTAAGTCTCAATGAAATAAATGGAATTATTCCGTCTTTTATAACGGCTTCTTCTCTTTCAGGAAAATATATTCAAATTGTAGTTCAAGTGACAAGAGACATGGTCGCTGTCGTATATTCAGAATGGATGTTACCCGTAGAAGAATTCGATTTATGCGTATCCGATGTTACTTTCAAACAATTTAGGTCCCTAGGAAAACAACAAGAAAATACCGATTTTAACAATATTGCTAATTTATCAGAATTACAAAAGTTAATTCACAAATCTTACCTTTCATTAGAAGAAGTACTCAAGGTTTGAAAATATAAAAAAAAAAATTATTATTTTATTTTTTTTTCGTGAAATTAATAGAATTTAAAAACCAATCTTAATAGGCAATACCTCCATCAATTGGTGTTAATCTTGAAATAAAATATCCGACAGCATACGAAATGTCCCGATTTTGTTTTTCCGATATACCCGATATTAGCAGTTACGTAGATACTATTCTACAAACTGTTTACGATAATGCGCAAAGCCATACAACAAATGATGGCTCCGAAATATTAAATCACAAATCAAACAATCGTTCAGTCATGTTTTCATCGTTTAACCCGGCAATTTGCACCGCTTTGAATTGGAAACAACCAAATTGTGAGCAAACAACACTCCATTTGAATTTATTTATACGAGTCAAATATTTAACATCTTGAAAATTTTTTCTTCACAGATGCGGTGTTTTTTAATTCTTATTGTGGCTTCGAAAACGAAGAAATTACTCGTGGTAAAAAACGTAAAGGGCGTGAGGATAACGGAACGTACGAAGACGTTGAAAAAGACAAACGCTGTACTTCAATTAAAGAAGCGGTTAAATTCGCAAAAAGCAATAACCTTTTGGGGGTAATTTTCGACGCGACATTATTAGTAAGTGTACACCTTATACGTATTTGCTTAATTTTTTTTGCAAATACACGATTCTTTTTTTCTGACTTTTATAATAAAATTATTGCATTATTAAATTTTGTGTTGATTATTTTATCAGGTAAAAGTACCGTCACTAATAACGAACGTAAAACAATCCGGATTAGTATTAACCACATTTGGTGCAGCTAATAACGACAATCGTAACATAATATTACAAGACAAATATAAAGTTGACGCGAAGGTTATTGATGGTGTCATTGAATACAAAAGCGGATTTGATGCATATTGAAGAAAAAAAAAAAAAAAAAAAAAAAAAAATAATAATAATAATAATAATAATAATACTTTCAAATCATAAAGAATCAGGTTCATTTAAAGAAATTATTTATTCATTATACACATTTATTTATAATACTAAGAACTATAAGCCGTTTTTCCCTCAATTCTCAAAAGTCTCAACCTTGTTCAATCAATAATCAGTATAATCAGTATGTACAAACCTATGTAGATGTATAATATAAAAACATAAAAACTCAATAAACTAACAATTAACAAATCAATTTGTTGTGTCATGTGATTCAGTGAAAATTACCTGCATTAGTCTGCGCCATGCATGTCTAGTATAAATTTAAATGTTCAATTAACTTTCCTCAACATTCGGCTCGTTTTTTTATATTTCATTGGGGTACCGTAGTTAATCATTTCCATTTTTTGAGAGTTCATTCCTTTGTTTGATTAAGGACTTTTTCGTTTTGCTTTTTTGTTCCTTTCGAATTTTGGATACGTTTTGTGAAAGGGAATGATAAAAATTTCATTTGTAAATAATATTTATTCGGTCAGTTTTATTATCTTGCATTTATACGTCTAAATTGAGCGTGTCTAAGGGAATTTGGAGCAAGTTTGTTTGCAATGAGTACTAATGATGCTCAAACGCAACTGTCAACATATGGCCTTGCATGTGGCTCTACTGAGTTGGGAAAAACACGAAACATGTTTTTAAGCGTGTCTGCTGGGTGTGTTTACGCGATTATTTCTTTTTTTCGCTTCATAATATATTTGTTTCAGGGCAGAGGTTTGTAAATTTTATTTTATTTTATTTTTTTTTGTTAAAAAAAAGGTATTAACTAACGCGTCTTGAACAACCGTATCCAGAAAATTATTGTATGGAATATTCCGAATTCTATATGACCTTTTTTTTAGATACTATTATTGCTTTTTTGAAAGTTTACGTTATTGGTCTTTTGCCAATAATAGCTCTTCGAAAAGTACTTATTCAAGAGTCAGGTTCTTAAGTTACTTAATTACTATATTATTAGCAAGTAGTAAGATGACATATTAATGATTAACCTGATGTTTATAGTTCGTAGAAACACACCGGCATGTTTGTTAGATGAATTGCATACTTTAATGTATAAGAAGCGCACTTACATCACTCCTTTAATATATACAATTTCCTCAATCATCATAGGATGGACTTATTTTGATCTCATTGGAGTAAGTTATAGGCGAACAAGAACAATGTTTTTATACCCTGGAACTGAAGAGTAAGATCACATAATCAACTTTGTTTAATATTAAGAACGAAAATATTAACTTGATCTATTAAGTAGTTTTTGGTGTCCAAGTCATCGTAAAGACAATTGTAAAGGTCTTCTTCCAATGATTAATGAACATTACTTAATCGCGCTATTCCATACTGCAATTCTTGGGATTTGGTATGGATGTGATTTTTTGTTACGTAAAAGATATATGTTAACATTTAATATGGCAAAGGTAATTTAAAATAAAAAAGAACATTAATTTGCGTTCAAAATGTAATCTGTTAAAATCAGTTCTTTTTTTCATAGCCAAGATATCCATTTTCTTTATTAAAAGAACTTTTGATAATTTGGAACCACCAATTCAATATTTTTGTATGGAGTACTCTCACGACAGCATTATATTTCTCGATGATATTGTGGTTTATTAAACTTTTTATATGGAACACCATCTATGAATGGCTACCTAACCTTATCTTTTTACAGTAAGTTTCAAAAGATGCAACATAGATTAAGTTCTTTTTCACACGTGTTCTATTTTTACTTATCTCTTCAAATGTTTTAAAGTAACACTTCAGTCTATTATTGGATGCGTGCTTCTTGGTTTGATGTGCAGCTATTCAATAGAACAGTTGTCAGTGCGATTTTTACCGTAATGTGTTGGTCTGTAATAGATTTTTTGATCGAACATTTTTTTACACGGGTTAGTATCTATATCATGTGAATTGATTGGTTTAGCATAATTGTAATCAAATTATTAATAATTGAAAAATAGGACTAAAGATAACTTTTATTATATTATATCTCTTCTTTGATATTAGATACATTTTACAATTAGTGTATATATGGATCCTCATGCAATTCTTGTAGATGGACTGCATTCATATCAACAACCCTATTATCAGGTTTATATTACTCAATATATATATATATATATATATTTCAATTAAATTCTAATGTTCTATCTTAAATTATCTCCTTTCTAGCAATTGGCATTTTTGGAATTGTGGCACATTGCAAAATTTGATCAGCATAGACGTAGTGCTATATATGCAGATTTCAATCGTAAACGTGCGTTCAATTGTGTTAAGCATAATAATCCCACTTCTGCATGGACAGAAATATCTCGTTCATGTATGGATTTGATCTTAGGGCTTGCAAGTTCTGCACAAAATGAAATTAAAAAACAACAAGCAAGGAAATTATTGTTAAAAAAAAAGTATGAAAAGTTTAGAAATATGGAAAAAAATGCATTGAAAGAAAAGGAACGAAAAATAGTTGGCTACAAAGATCTTGAAGTCAAGATGACGGCCGAAACAATGACTAAAGATCATGATTATTGGGGAATGAAGTTATTGGAATGGTTTCATCCAGTGACGGGTAATCGCCCATACTTTATGAGAAAAATTTATTATTATTCTGCCGTCCCTTTACTTAAGAGATCAATTGAGAGAAGAACAAAGAATGTTTTTAAAGATTTATATATTACAATATATGCTATACAAGGTATTTAATTTTCAATAAATCTTTTAGTATTTAATATAAATATTATTTATTAATTTATCGGATTATATTTTAAAGCATTAACGGCTTTAACAGTTAAATCATTGAATGAGGATAAACATGGAATTGTGCAGTGTGATATTGCTAATGTCTTTGAATCAATATTAGATTGTTTAATGTCTCTTGATCAATATTCTAAAGAACCGCCATTGGATGAGTGGGATGTTGGAGATCCTTTTACATTTACATATTCTAGTGTTTTGTCAGATCCGTTAATTGTTATAAATGGTAAATTTCTTTTTAAATTAAAATATCATTAAATTTTGTAGATATTAATTTTTTTTTTATTGATTAATAATTATACAGTATTGAAAGATGCTTTATTTGACTTGACAAAAGCGTTTTATCCACATATGGATTACGTGAAGTTATCAAGTATACATTATGATAGATTAAATAAACTGCTCAATGAAGGACTTTAGTAGATTTTTTTAGCGGAATGCATATTAGATATTATTTTGACCATAAACAACTTGTAATTTCATTCTTTTTTTTTTATTTTTAAAAACAGATGAACCAAACTTATGATAATAAATCATAAAATGCGTCTATAGAAAACATCTAATTTTACTTGTATTTTTGATTATTTTATTTCAAGAAAAATATTAATATATAAATAAAAAAAATTAATAATATGAAGTATAAATGTAAAAATAAATGTATTGAAATTACTATTATTAGTAGTAATTTTAATTTTGTATAGCATTACAATAATATTGGTTTAATAGGTTTAAAATAAATTTTGGAATAAAATTGTTAATTTGCAAGATGCAACTTTTTAAATCTGCAACTAGTTCAACTAGTTCAATAGTATTTTGCAAACTAATTATGCTAAAGCTTTTGTGATAAGATTATATTTAATTAACAAATTTAATCATGATACCTAAAAAGCATGAATTGTTTAGTCGTTAGTGAAGATCGAAGTTGCTGAATTTGAAATTATTTCACAATTTAAGATTCGATATTACGACGGCCTGGTATTCGATAATGTTGGTCAAATTTTTCAATCATTTTATTAACAGTAGAAAAGAGTTCCTATTGTTTTTGTCCGAGTATATATATATGGATTAAATTTTATTGAATTTATTAGTTCATAAATATCTTTATAATATGTTTTTAGACGTGCCTTTAAGGTTTCAGTAGATGTATCTAACTATTAATACTAATATAATTAACAAATTTGATTTTGTAATTCGAGTAAAATATTTGTCCTTTAATATCAGATATTGCGTAAAAGTTTAAAGTGTTAGGTGCCTAATTTCGCAATTCACGTGATTTATTGACACTAAAGATTTATTGACCAGTAATTAAAAAATCGAACCACTCAATCACTTCTACTTTAAATTCTATACTTTGTGGTTATAAAAATAAAATTTTCTTTTATGAATATTTTTCTTTTATGAATATATGTTACTTTAATTAAATTTTTTAAAAGTATTAAATTTTTTAAAAGTAGACAATTATTTTAAAAATAAAGTTTTATTTTTATATAGTATAACTATGTACAAAGATCCTTCAATCGAGGAACTTTTTGGTTTTTCAGATAGTAATGAATATGAATCAACAGAAGAAAATAATTCTTCTGATGAACTTGAAGTTTTTGATCATAAGGTATCACCAAGTTCATTTAATGGAAATGAACCGATTGATATATCTTCCATAACCTTTCCATCGATATCTGGATTAATTCTTTATGAAAACCTTTTAACTCACGAACAACAAAATGAATTAATTAATGGTATTATAGAAGCTAATTATTTTGATAATCCGGAATCAAATCAGGCAATGTGTTTTGGCACATTACCATCATTCCTTCTTAATGCTGTTGAAATTATTTCTCATACACCTGGACTTTTTCCTGATGGAATTCAGAATAGGAAACCTTTATTTGATCAGGCGTGTGTTTAACTAATCTTGTGAAAGAATTATAGAATAAAGAAACTAAATCGTTAAAATATTTCATAGATTCGGTGAAAAAAATTCCATTTCTACTAATTAATTTTCTTATTATATAATACAGTCAATCATCAATTTATATAAACCTGGAGAAGGTATTACAAGTCATGTGGATTTGCCAAGGTAAAGCTTAAAGCTGATTTTAATTATGTAAATAATATGAATTTAATGTTACTTTCTTTTTATCAGATTTGAAGATGGGATTGTAGTCATATCATTATTATCATCATGCGTAATGCAATTCAAACCCTTATCTGACATATCTGACATTGAACAGGATGGTGATAACACTAATTATTATAACAAATTTAAGGATATTCAAAATACTGGTGAAACGATACCAGTAATTCTTAGACCAGGATCCGTTCTTGCTCTCAGTGGATCATCTAGATATAATTGGACTCATGGAATAGAAGAGAATGAGATTGATGAGGTCGGGGATGAAAAAATCGTTCGAAACATTAGAGTATCTGTGACTTTAAGAAAAATGAAACAGGATCAATTATTATTAAATAAAGATGATTCAAACTCATTTTCTTTCGAGGTTAAAAAACGTGGACACTAAGTTGCAATTAAATTTGAAAGCTTTATTTATTATTTATTATTTATTATTTTTGAGATGCAAACCAGTTTTTATTAGTAGAAAAAAAATCTGCAGTTAAAATTTGCAATAATTTATGTGAACGAACTTGCAGTATGTAATTATGAATTTCACTCATACTGAAAAGAATCATTCTTTTTTGAATATTTACAAGATATAGAAGTGTAGCAAAATAGCTGGATTGATATATAATAAAAAAAAGTTGTAAATATTACATTTATTTTAAATATAAATTGATAGTAATTTCTAGTTGATTTTGATTTAAGAAATTGTATTTAAAAGACAAATACACAATCTTTAACCTACCTTCGAAAAATGATAAAATTTTAATTTATGATAAATCTTCAACGACAGAAGCTTCCTTCATACGCCCAAACGCTTTAATCATCTCAATTACGTTTGCGATAATTGGATTAGTTTTAGTATCCAATGGATCAATAATAACGGTTTCCAATGTTACCATAAATGTTGACATTTGAGGTTGATACTTTTTTCACAAAGTAAAATATTAATATATTTATTATTATTAAAAAAGAATAATAATGAGGAAAAAATTAACTTACACATCGTCCAATTTCCTTGAAAAATCCATATGCCCACCAGAACCAATATTGTGACATAGGATCTTGAATATCTTGTTCGATATATTCTTTTAGCCTTTCATCAAGCATCCCAACAAATAAATTAACCAGGGCTAACAAAACTTCCTTCTGTTCTCTAGTGACATTGCTCAACGTATTTTCAAGACTACGTAATTCTTCAGAGTTAACTTTTTTATCCACTGTAAAAAAATAAAGAACATACTTTATGAATTATATAATAACAAAAAAAAAAGTATCAATAAATAATTTGAATTAATGAGTACCATCGCTTGTTATGTCAATGATGTCGGTGCGTGGATTTATCAAGGTATCAAGTTTATATTGAACCTGCTTGACTCTTGATATAACTTTATTTATAGTGTTCTTCATAATTTCCCACATATATGATCTAGAAAGTTATAAAATGGTTAGAAAAAAAATATATATTTCATTAATAATTATTTTATCTAATTATAACTCACTTGGAAACTTCTGTTTCCATCTCTTTCGTGAATAACCATGTTATTATAGAACTGGCGTCAATAACTCGATAATTTAATAACTTATCAAGAAGAATACCCAAGAACTAAAAAAGAACACTAAATAAATTAGTTATTCTTAATTAATAAATTAACGAATAAAACTCATACCTGAGTGTTTCTTTTCCAAAATTCCGCGACAATTTTAACCGTATGTAATTTGTCTTCAGGAGACTCATTTAAAGATTGAAGAATTGGTAGATACCTAATTCAAAAATTCATTTTGTATTTAATAACATGATTCGTGTATTTCATTTTAATAAATATAATATCGTACCTTTCAATAACATTAAGCACGTGACTAAAACTCTTACACCCTTGCATGAGCACACATTGAACAAAAATATCACGTATAGTTTGATCTTGTTCTTTTGGAGGTAAAGCTGTAACTATCTCTTTAAAATATGCTTGTACATCTTCATTGGAGGCTCTTTTTCGAATTTTTCCTAATAAAGTCTCAGCCAAATCGTGTAAGGGATGAGCTATTAAAAAAAACAATATCAAAGATACTCTATTAAAACTTGGTCTAATTGGCATAAATTTAAGGCAAAGATTAAGAATTTAATATTACTAGAATCTTCATATTTAAAACTAGTGGATGGTTCTATCGGAAAAATGGACGAAAATTCGTCCGGAATAGTAGATTTGATTCTTTCATAATAACTGTAGCGTACCATCTTTTGGAATGTTTCTCGTAAGAAACATACTTTTGGATGTAAAGGATCAAATTGTAAAGAACTCTCCCTGACATGATGGAAAAAAGGTTCAGGTAAATATTTTTTTTTTTTATAATAATATAAAATTAACTTTAGGCTTACCAATCTTTCCAATTCCATATAAAACTGAAATTACTTAGATGATGGCTAAACCAATTCCAGAATCTATAACAGCACTCTACATCCATAATATCGACACGATCAAATAGAATTCCTATGGCCTTACCGAGGTAAAAAATTCGCCAAAAAATAAATAATCTAAAGTCAAGGAATTATAATAAAATAAATTTTCTGCAAATAATTATATGGAATCATTTGTTAATAAAGGATATCACAGGCGGAAATGTTTCATGCATCATCTTGCAAACTTCGGTTAGGAGTGAATGATAAAATATGTATTTATATTTTGGCTGTGGCAATTGGAAGATATTCTTGAACGTGGACTACGTTATAAAAAATTATTTATCATAGTATCCTTCTCTTGAATTGAATGACTATATGTTGAGAACTGTACTTACCTCAACAATAATCTGTTCAAGTTGAAAATTTGCAGTAATATTTTGATTTGTATTAGTTGTATCTACTGAGGGTGGGTTGTCATTAGTCCAATTATTAGGAAATGAATCCTCTTCAGTTTCCATTTTTGTTTCCGATTCAACCTTAACATCGGTTTTTGCTGCTGAAACAGTTGTATCTTTGCCAATAAAAGTGTCTGGTGCAAAACAGTATGGAAGATCTTTTAGATATTTCGCGCAATCCTTACGATTTACTTCCATAATATCGAGAATATCATCAACAACATCATTGATAATAAAATATGATATATCAGAGACATCATGTTCTTTTATTGACTTTTTTTTGTTGTTAAAAAAAAACAACAGATATTAAATTAGAAGAAATTTATAAATTACGTACTACCATCATAATTAACTTGCTACGAAATATAAATATAAACAAACCTCATCATCCAAGCCAACGAAAATTCGGAACGACGTGGTTGGCAAAGAATTATTCATTCCGCCAAACTCTTGAGGTACAACGAACTTTTCAACTTCATGCTATTTTTTTTAAAAAAGTATATGTTAAATTATTAAAGCTTTTAATGTCAAGTGAAAAATTTTTGAAGAAATAACGGACTTGGTCTGCAGTTATCAGTACACCATCATATTCCGACCAAGGTTTCAAAAGGTTTGGGCACTAATAAAATATAATAATTTATTTTAATGTTGAAATAAAGAACAAAAATAAAAAGTCTTGTATCAACCAAATAAAAAGAAGTTATCTTACCACCCAATCATTACTTTTTAAATTTTGGATTTGGGTCCATAAGAGTTCTAACATCTTGGAAGAATAAAAAAAAAAAATAATTGTTTTAATACTTAATATCATTGAATAGCAGAAGAAGAAAAATCCTTTTTTCATTATATAGTGCACACATAATCAAAACGCATAATAAAAAAACAAATCCAAATTCAATCAAACGCGCCGGAAATAAAAAAAATATCTATATATAGATAGATATCCGCTCAGATAACTCCAATTTTAAAGAATTCATTAAAGTGGAAAAACTCTTACATCTTGTTGTTCATATGGCACATTGGGTCCAACGTAAGGTTGGATGGATTTTCGAACAACTGAACCATCTATATCCAATATAGTTCGTTCTCTAGCATAGAAATATCGTTCAATTTTTGCTAACATGCTTTCTAAAACATCTGGACACCTTTCTCGAAGCCTTGTTGCCACCTAAATCATAAATACTTTAATAAAACATAAAAAAAGAATTATGTACTTAAATATTAAATTATTTAAACTTACGTATGGTAATGAGGCTAAAACAATATACACAATTGTGTCCGCTCGAGACTATTTGAAATAAAAACTTTATTATATATTATTTAATATCAAATTTACTATATAACTTATATCATAAAATTATACCATTTTCAGATTTTGTTCATCGAGCGCTGTTAATAAATCATCATAAACATCCAACATAGTTCTGGGTGATATAACATTAGCATTTGTCAACTCTCCAAAAAATTTAAGCTTTTATCGATTAATAATGATGATATAAAAGTTCAAATATTATTAATAATGTTATAAATGTTAAGAAAAAAAAAAAAATGATAACAACAATAATTAAATATCTTACAGATAATTTTGCTCCGCGCCAATTTCCTTCATTCAAACACTGTTGCAAAGTCTGCGATGTCATTTTCACGACTTTAACACCAACGTCAGATCGCGTGACATTCACAAGGCCAATAAGAGTACCATAAATGTATGACTTCATTGGTAACTCCATGAAACTGAATATAAAAAAAGTATTTTTTAATATTAAATTATTTGACCAAAAAAACGAATTGACCCAAAATAACAAATACCAATTCTTTATGGTCTTCAGTACATGAGTCTCAAGTTTTGAATATTCACTTTTTAAAATACTGGCGACCTTATCAATATTTGTAGTTATTTCTTTTGGTGTCATCTAATAAATAAATGATAATTAATTAAATTCGAAAAAAATATCTTATTCAACTTACAACAATTTATGAATTTACCTTGTCACCCAAAATAATAAGGAGGGTTGTCAATCTTTTCTCGGGACTATCTTCTGCAGGTTGTTGTTCCTGAACTTCAATATAACTACTTCTTCCACGATCTCGATTTCTTCGATCACGACCGCCACTTCGACGATCATCGTCTAAAGTAAATAAATAGGTTGTGTATCTACAAAATTTTAAAATAGAAACCGAGATTTAAGTATACAATGAATAAAATACCTCTATATCTCTTTTTGCCACCTAGAAGAAAATTAATAAAAGTTGTTCAGTTTTAATATCCAGATCAAAAATATAAAAAGAATTAATAGAAGTTGGTTTAATATTTACTATCTCTACGACTTCCTCTTTCATGATCCATTTTTACGTTTTTTTTTTTATTATTATTTGAACTTTTAACACGCAAAAGGATCTGTCAAGTTGGTCAAGCTATATTTGGCAAATTTTTGCTGCGGACCGTGGGATCATGATAGTTCATGATTGGTCAAGGGAACGATGATTATCTGTCGATCTTATCAGTAAAAAATTATAAAAGCAGCTGAAAATCATTAAAATTTTTTGGACGATTTTTTTTCAACATTTAAACTTTTCACAACTTTTCGCAACTTTTCGCAACTTTTTTTTAACGGTTTAAAATCTCTTTTTACAAGATTTTCGATATAAACAGATAATCTGAATAATTTAGATAGAATTTGTATCAACCTTCTTTTTTTTGTTGAAATTTTCTTTTTTTATAGTAAGATCATAATTAAAAAAAAAAAACGGGTGAGAAACAATTATATATAATTTTATTGTTTTTAATATTTTTAATTTAGAAAATAATAATATAATTTAAAAATTATAAGCTTTATTATATCGTAAACATATTTACAAATTTAAGACATTAATTGCTAAAAGATATGTCGTAATGTTGATAAATAAATAAATATAATAATAATGATTTATTTAATAATATGTATAAAATAACATAGTAAGGTAAGTAGGGTCAGTTTTTGTTTTTAAAATAAATAAAAAATATTAGATGTAAGATTATCGATATTAGATATTAAGATTATGATCCGCAGCAATTATTAAAATGTTTTTTTGCCGCAGTAAATATTTTTTACTTCATTTTTTTTATCACTTGTCACATGAGAAAAAAATTCTTTGTCAAAGCGTGGGAATTTAAAGCGGCTTTTTTACCCCAAAATAGTGATATATTTCATATGATGTGATGGATAATAAAATTTTTTTTTAACCAAAAATATAGGCATCATTTCTTTTTGCGTCTCAAGATTGGAAGAAAAAAATCGCGTGACGAAATTTTAGTTAATAAAATTCTCACCCCTTTTTTAATTTATATTACATGAACGAATGGTAATTTACTAAATTTGTATTCACTCGTGAAAAAAAAAATATTATTGGGGGAAATAAATGAACAAAGGAAATTTTTGGACTTGATATATAAATAACAAGTAATTGTACTGTAGGACCCAAAATTTTTTTTTTTCATTTTTTTTTATTCGTCAATAATTTCTTCGGAATTTAATCACGCACAAACCACTTATTTTCTATTTGTTTGAAGACGTAAAAGGGATTTACGAGGGAAATGAGTAACTATGACAAAACCAGATAGATGCATTAAGTTGATCGATAAAGTTGAAAAAAATATCATTTTCTAATCAACAAATTTTTGTTGATTACGAGAAAAAAAAAAATTTTTTTATAGTTTTTACGCCTATCACTAATTTTTATTATTTTTAACCTTATTTCGACTAGTGTTTAAATGCTCAAAGAAAATCTTTCTCGGGCATGCGAAAATTTTGTGCATATATATAACTAAAAATAAAAATAATTTGTTGATCAATTTTTTTTTTATGATAAGGCTGCGGTCATATGCAGAATATGTAGGATAGGGACGATGACGTTGCAATTTATTTGGATTGGAACGGGAACTTAATACTGTATTTATTGAAACATAGGACAGTTTAATACGGGAGTGACTCCTTATATAAATAACGGATAGAACTAAAATATGATTAGTTGTTACTATGTTTCTCAACAAAATTTAGTGCGCTTTATAACGAAGAGAGGAAAAATAAATCAACCAAATGAACCAAATGATTCCAAAAGTAATCTCTTTGTCACGCGATATAAAAATGTTTCAAAATGATCAAATAAAAAAAAATAAAAAAGGGAAAAAAATAAATAAAAAAAAAAAAAAAATTAAGTTTTATATTAATAAAATAATTTTAAACATTAAATTCCATTATTAAATTTTGTCAAATATTGCCTCATTAGCAGAGTTGATAAAATGTAATGTTGAATGATCTTCTTAAATACCCATACGAAAAAAAAAATCATTGGACAAGAAATCATCTGTAACTGCGGCATATATTATCGTTATTTTATCGTTTATTGCGATGGGGAAAAAAAAAATTTATTTTCTGTTATCAGAAAAACCAATACCGATATGTTAAAATGGGCTGATAATGCTTGTTAAAGCTGTTACACGAATTGCAATTAAATCAACTGCGGATCTGCAAATTTTTTATACAGTTTATTTTTATTTGTAATTTTAATTATTAATTATTATCATTTTTATTATTAAATACAATACTTGGCGCTGTTAGCATATATATATATATAATCAACATATATAATTATATATATAATATGCTTATATGTTAATCACGTTTTTTTTTTTAAAAAAAAAAAAATGAAAATGACCCGTGCTATCGTGCTATCATCGACTTTTCTAAACAACAAACAAATATATCGTAATTTACATTCATATCACATAGAGACTAACTTTCTGCTTTAATCATCACGTGATTAATTTTGATTCCATTCATCGCTTCAACTCAGGATTCATGATCTATTGGTTTGATATAATAAGTATACCATATAAAGACTAGTCATACAAAAACAAAAAATTTTTTTTATCAAAAAAAAAAAAAAAACTTTATAAAAGGCCTTTTTTATCCAAAATTTTTTATCGTGTTTCTTCAAAATAATCTTTAATAAAGTTCTCGTTTTTTATATATTTTTCTTTTTAGTTTTTATCAAAACTTTATTCTTTTCCTCTTGCTTTCTCACCTTTAATCTTTTTAGAACTTTATTGCACCTCGCTGCGCTTGGTGAACCCTCTTAGCACAAAAAAAAATATTTTTTTTTCCTGCCGTTTTTTTTTTCTAGATAATAAATAATATCTATCTATCTATATAAACAACTCAAAAAATCACCAACCAACAGTAATCACAGCTCCTTCATAAAACACCACAAACATGAACGCTTACTCTATTAATCAAGTACAACATACCGAGGCTGTTCAGTATTATTCTGTGGGAGCAGAAGATATTTCTCCCGCTAATATGAACCCTACTCAGCTATCTTTAGGTTGGTTTTCTCATTCACGTTCCTTTCTTTTTCTCTTTTCTAATTAACTCTGGTGAACCCAACTTTACTCTTTTTTTATTCATTCCAGTCGAAGAAATCCAGCATGAACCTCAACTCCTAGTTGTCAAACAAGAAGATAATATTCAAGGTTCTCCTCATGACAGTCATGACAGTCACGATAGTCACGACAGTCACGACAGTTCAAAAGAACACAGTCCGTCGCCTTCAGTTTCGAAAACAACATATACTTGTCACGTATGCAGTAAAAAGTATAAACACCGAAACTGTTTAGTCAAAGTACGTGTTTCGAACTTTTATAGGTTACTTTACAAAGTGTTTTTTAATAATTTTTTTATTACTTTATAGCACTTGTGGGAACATCACGAAAGCTGGGAACTATGTCTTAAGTTCAACTTGACTAAACACCAGCAGGTTCAGATGATGGAGGTAAGGACATACCATACTTCTATATGTTTGAAACATTTTTAAGAGTTCGTAGCTCTTTAAAAGTAAGCTATAACTGGTATTAACACGAAATTTCTTTTGTAGGCTGCGCAAATCCTCGTTGATCTTGCTTGTATAAAACAACATTAATCAATCATATCCCCCTTACCCTTTGTATATTTACCCTCTCTTATATTTTAATGCACCAAGGGCGATTAGCATAGGCAGTAAATATTATTACTTGAACAATTATTTTATTTTATTTTTTTTTTTTCCTTTTACTTGCCTGCTTTATTCATTCCGCCAAATTGGTTTTGTTTCATATTACATTGCTTTATATTTTTTTTCTTTGTTTATTTTTCATATATTTTTTTTATTCATATAGCTTTACAAGAGGGATATTGGACAGTCATTTTTAGAGCTAGAATAGTGCTGTCCTACTTGTATATAAGAATTGTCCCTTATATTATCATAACGATAATTGGGATAAATTAGATTCCTCTTGTATTTGCTGCTTTATATTTTACTTTATTATTTGCTTTCTTTTTCCTAATATTTTTTTTACTTACTATTATTACTTACTACATTTTTTTTTTTTTTNAGATGTGTATAAGAGACAGATAGTAAACTGTAATACAAATAGTAAATTCAGTGACCAAATCGTATAAATTTCGTGATAAAATCAGTGATCAAATCATGTAAATTCCATATGAATTCCGTGCAAATTCCGTATCCAAACCATATTTTCAGTGATACGGAATTGTGCATTTTTCCGTATCCTATTATGATACGTTATTTCTAAGGAAAAAAAATCGTATAAAAACTTTATAAAAAACGTATCTAATTTTTTTTATAGGGTTTAAAATATATTATTTTGTTAAGAAAAAAATTTTTAAGCTCTTTGATAAAAAACTTAGACTTAAGTATCAGTCGGTCTGTTCTCCAGTCCTCCTTTTTTGTATATATTGTATAATTTATATTATCGATAGAAGTGTTCATTGTTTAAAAAATTTATATATATTAATCGATTTTCAACCTATTAAAATTTAATCCAAAAAAAATATTTTGATCAAGCAGTATATGTTTATCAAATAAATCACATTTAATTTTAATTTTCCAATATATTCGGAGGGACCGCGATAGTAAATTTAAAAATATATTAGTGGAAAGAAGAACTCGAAATTCTTTTGAATTTTAGCGGTTACGGAAACCGCAGATTCAAACAATTACCAGAAAAGAAATTACCTTTACTATTACCACCTCAACAGCTGTCTCTTATACACATCTAGATGTGTATAAGAGACAGGTGGTTATATTTATGAAGCAGCAATATTTATTAAATCAACAAAAGGAAGTTTACGAGAAATTAGAATTAAACATGATTTTCATGAAAAAAAATGGGTTAGTGTTTATTCAGTCCATTACTCAATATTGTCCAAATCTAAAATCAGTTGCTTTGTTTTATCAAGATGATCATTTGGTTATCAGGGAATTAGAAAAATTATTCTCAACATGTTCTCAATTAGAAAGATTAGTTATAGTATGTGAAGATTATTATAATGATTCTTATGATAAATTATTAGATACTGTATATTAGTAATAAATGCACCTTCAAGCTTAAATTCTTTAAAATTGGATAATTTTAAAATTAAAATGAAAAGTTTGAAAACTTTCTTTAAGAGATGGAAGGACAAACATCAAACATCAATATCTGTTTATTATATTTTATATTTTAAAGAAATTCATAAAGTTGATATAATCAATGATTGTGTTGAAGTAAAAAAATTTGATGATAATTATTGTTGTCGGTATTTTGATTGGAATTAAAAGTGTATTAGGGTAGAATTATATTAGCAATAATTATAATTATTGGTGCTATTAAAATTTAAATAAGTTCATACATAACAGTTATAACTCATTTTAAAACGTGATATTATTGATATTCATTATTGTATTTTGTGTTAATTTTTTCCTTTAGATTAAATTAGTGAAAAATTATTAAAAACATTATTAACCAATAAATTAATTACCTTATTTTGATATAACGTCTGCTGGATTATTCATACTTTTAAGAATTATTTTGGCCTTCTCTTTTCCAATTTTGATGTTTATGATCATATATCTATCCATTTTGCTCTATATACTTTACCAAATTCTTTTTTTTTAGTATATTCATTAAGTTTGTGTCTTATTTGTGCCTATTCAATTTTACAAATAAAAATAATAAAAATAATATAAAATAAAGTAAAATAATTTTTTATATACCATAGTTCTGTATATAGATTATCTTTAAAACTTTCCGGGTATCCCCGTAAAAAAAAAATTTATTTAAAAAGTAAAAATTATTTATAAAATAGAGAATAAAAAAAAAATGTTCCGTTAGAACATTTCGTTATTACATAACGTCTTGTACTCTTGTAGATCCTATGATAATTAATATAAAAGATCACAAACTTTTAAGAAATCTTTTTTCCGTTCTATTAGAAAAATTATTAATAATTTTTTTTTAGTTATCTTTATATTGTACATTCTTTTCTTTATTTTCCTTAGTAAACATATCTCTTTTATGTTCAATCCCGAGGAATTTAAGTGCATTTCCACTTAATACCTTTTCTTTATCTTCATTAGTTAACCAATCACACTCTTCGATTAATTTACCAGGATGATGTTCTCCTAATGGAAAAGGATAATCACTTCCTAACATCACTTTATTAATTCCCAATTTTTTTATCAAAAGATGCAATGTATCTTCATCATGTACTAAGGAATCAACATAAATTCGATCTAAATATTCCATAGGATTCTTTTTAATTTTTAAGGCACATATATCAGGTCGTACATTAAATCCATGCGCAATACGTCCTAATGTTCCTAGAAATGATCCTCCTCCATGCGCAAATGATACTTTAAGTTTCGGATATCTTTCAAATACTCCTCCCATTATAAGTGAACAAATTGATATAGTGGTTTCGCATGGCTAAAAAAAAAAATGAAGGTTAATTATAGAAATCGTGAGAATTAAATATTATATATTTATCATTATTATTATTTTGTATTTACCATTCCAACGAGCCTATTAAAATTTTTTTTTTTTTTTAAAAAAAAAAAAAAAAAATACGTTAAAATAAATAGTGTTTACAATTTGTTGAATAAAATTTTATAAAATTTACTTACCAAGGAAACCAATATTTTTCCATCCTGCCTTTATTTTCCATATCCCAAGGATGAACAAAAATGGCTGCATCAAGTTGTTCACAGGCCTACGAATTAAGAAATTCATAATTTACTAAATGTGGATTTATTCTTTTTTTAGTCTTTGCTCATAAATATGTCATAAATAATACTAACTTTCCAAAATTGATCTAGTTCAGGTGCATCTAAATTCCAATCATTTATGTGACTTCCAATTTGTGCGCCAACAAAACCAAGCTCATTAATGCATCTACGTAATTCTTGAACGGCCAATTCAGGAGATTGCATTGGCAAAGTACAAAGTCCAACAAATCTTTTTGGGTCATCTTTACATACTTGAGCTATATGATCATTAAGACATCTTGCTAATTCAAGCGTATGTTGTGGTTTCGCGGAATATGAAAACATAACTGGAACTGTTGATAATACCTATTAAATAGATTAACGCCCGTTAATTAAAGCTTTGATAAGCTGATGAGCAACAATGATAACTTATTATACTTACTTGAATATCAACTCCTGTTTTATCACATTCACGTTTTCTATCTTCTACGGACCAACAATTACATTTAATCTCACGAAAATTCTTACCATTTAATACCATTCTCGCCTTTCCCTAATTCACGAAAAAAGAAAAATAAAAGGTATATTACTGCGCCACGGTCATGAACGGCGAAAAAAGAAATACTAACAGGCTCAAAATGATCCAACTGTATCCACTCCCCGTAACCAAATTTTTTCTTTAAATCTGGCCATTGTTTAGGAAGAATATGGCTAAAATAAGAAAGAGATATAAGTGTTTATATTACAGTTCTCTTAAAAATTTAAAAAGAAAAACAACTCACGTATGCATATCGATTTTAAGAAATTTAGAGTGCGTATTATTACTTAGTGAAGTTACTCCACCATTTTGACGTATAGGAGTTGGAGCCATGAATGTATCAGATTATTTTGTAAGCAAAAGAAAAAATTAAATTTTTTAGGGCTTTTTGAAAAAAAAAAATTGGGAAATTAAATTTTTAGCCACTTTTTAGACAATTTATAAAAATCAACCAAACGCAGTCAAACTTGGATTATATTCTATATATGGATACGATGATAAACGTCAGGTGATCGCGAGACTATGTGTCATGTGTCATTCTGCATTCTGCAGACCATAATGAAAAGATAAGTACCCGGCAAAAATAGAATTACTTTGAAGGGTAAATAACTAAAAATATTTTGTCTATCACGGATTTTTTATTGTAGATCTTCAATGAATTTTATATATATTATACTAAATATTCATAAACGGCTTAAACAATAATTTCTTTTTTTCACACCGCCCCTCTTTATTTATTTCTTTCTTCTATACTTTATAGGAAATTTAAATGAGTCTAGTATTTGCACCCGCCCATTGACAATATGCAAATTATTATCTAAGGTTCATCGTGGGTTAGGTTTTACGAATTTTTTCTCACGGGTAAGTTTGTTTTAATAGCTGATTTCCATTAATAGATTTTAAGTTTCATTCATTAACTTTTGCATTATCAACTAAACACTTAAAAAGTTGTACGAAATAAATTTTTTTGGTCAGGACAACGCCCCTCAATTTTTTTTCGCAGAAGTAAAAAATAATAAAAAAAAAAATGAATAAAATAACTCATTGTATTTTTGATATGGATGGTTAGTTAATTTATTTATGATATCATAATATTCCTTAATAAACTGAAACCTGAAATCTAAAAATTTTCTTTTTATTGGTGATTCATTATAGGACTTTTGTTGGTAAGTCATTTTTTCTCCCTTTTTTTTTTGTTTAAAATGAATTAATAAATTCAATATATACATAAAGGATACCGAAAATGTATACACAGAAGTCACAGGTAAGTCATATGGTTGTTTTTAAACAGATTATTTAAATTTTTGTATTTTTTTATTCTAATTTAATCTTAAAATTCAGCGGAAATTTTATCAAGATTCGGTAAAACTTATGGATGGGAATTAAAATCGAAATTAATGGGTCTTCGACAACAAGAAGTACTTATTTATCGTTTTAAAATAATTTAATTAAAAATTATTAAAATAAAACAAAATAAAATAAAATTATTTTCGAATAAAAAATTTTTTTAGGCTGCTGATCTTTTGATTAAGGAAACTGGAATTTCAATGACAAGTGATGAATATCTTGAAGAAAGAAATTTAAAACATGTAAGATTAGAATAATACTTTATCCATTTATAAATTTTACTAAATCAAAAAAAAATAATTTCGTTATTATAATTCTTGATAGGAAGAAAGATTCCCCTCGGTTAAGCCATTACCGGGCGTGATGGTTTGTCCACATTTCCTAAACTTATGTATTGTTTTTTTTATTTATTATATATATATTTATTTCCTTAACCTACAATTAATTAGAATCTCGTAAAACATTTAAAGGAACACAACATACCAATGGCCGTAAGTAATAATATCTACTCATTTTATGCATTTTCACGTATCACGCATTTTCATGTTTTATGCATTTTCATAATACATTATAAACTTCTTTGTTCTAATTTTATAGGTAGCAACAAGTTCTCATCGAGATGTATTTGAAATCAAAACAAAAAACAATCAAGAGCTATTTAAATTATTTGATGGTATTGTTTGTGGTGATGATCCAGAAGTAACCCGTGGTAAACCTTTTCCTGATCTTTTCTTAGCAGCTCGAAAAAAATTGGGTGATCCCCCACCAGAGCAATGTTTAGTCTTTGAAGATGCTATAAACGGTGTTCAAGCTGCTAAAAATGCTGGCATGCCTGTAATTTGGATACCCGATCCTGGTTTGGCTGCTTTACATCCTGGTGTAAATGATGCTACTGAAATGTTACTTTCTATGGAATTATTTGATCCTGCAAAATATGGTTTACCTCCTTATAGTATAAATTAAGGACTATTCTACGGCATATACATTTCATTTCTGCATCCTTTGTACAGTGCATCTTTTCATATGCCATGGTTTATCATTTTTACTTTAAATAATAAAAAAATATAAAAAAATACATATATACAACTTCCCTAAGAATAATGTTCCCATGTGCGTGTATAAATACGTCATATCATGACTTTATCATTGCCCTCAATAATATATACAAATTTATAGTATTGTTTAAATAATAACAGTAATCTGACCTTGATGTTTGATTGTTCTATGTACCGATAATTGCTCAAATCGATAAATTTCTCTGTCCCAACAAAAATAAACGATGCCCTTTATTCCCTTTGTCCATTTATGGTAATGTATAATAAAATGCACTTTAATTCTAGACGGATCGATCTCTGACCCGAATTGGTATTTTCTTTCCCTTTGAAAATATAACATTATTTTATATTGTTTTAAATTTTAATAAACAATCATAAAAAAAGCTATTATCCTGCAATTTAATCAAAATATAACTCATAAGGTTCATCTCAATGAAACGAATTTATTTCATTGTAATTGGTCAAATACGAGAATTTCAAACTAATTTATTTTATTATTAAATTTTTGTTTTTATAATATGAAATATTTACAAAATTTTTTAAAATAAAATTATTTTTTCTTAATGCAAATTATTGTAAAATTTCTCCAAAATGTAAAACTGAATTAATATAAAAAAATAAAAATCTTTTCAATACAGCTAATTATTAAAAAAAAGCATTTTAATATTTTAATATACCAATATAGATCTTTTATACTATAAAAGACCTCTTATTATTTTTATAAATTTAATTGATTTTATTACTAAAATAAATATATTAGTTTTTTTAAATAAACTTTATAAATAAATTTTTTTTTTTTTTTTTAATAATTTAAACTTTATAAATAATTAGTAACCTTCAATTTTAAAATTTAATCATTAATTCATAATCTGCCTCAAAACCAGTGAAAGCAACTAATATATATTGGGAATAAGGTTGCTTGTCTAAACCTCTTCAAAATCCTACGATTAGTTTCGTCAAAATTTTACTATAGATTTATTATAGTTTCGGCAGAGTTTCGGCAGTTTCGGCATTTATAATAAGTTTCAGCAGTTTCACCATTCTCCAAAGTTTTGCCAGTTTTTTAATATAACTTTAATATAGTTTTGGCAGAATTTCGCTTTTTGGCAAAACGCCATCTTGCCTAAACTCCTAGGTTTCGGCAAGCAACCTTAATTGGGAAACTATTATTATAGATCAAATTCTTAATATTAAGCAATTTCAAGCCAATTTAATTTATCAAATTTTTTTTTAAAATAAACATGTTAGAAATGTTTTAAACTTAGAAGTATATTAATATTTCATAATTAAGTAATTTTAATGTTATATATGATTTTAAGGGCTGAAATCTAGTATCGTTAAAAAAATAAAATTTTAATTAATAGTATTATGTAAAATTTATTGTTAAACTTTAATTTTATAGGTTTTTTGCTATTATTTACCCAACTTTTCAGTTTTATATCTTCAGATGGTTTGTACTCAGTTTTAACTTCAAATTTAACTTTAATTTATCATATTCATGAAAATATAATAACTCTCCATCTAATAATTAGTAAAAGATAATCTATAACTCTTTAAATTCCCTTTATCAAGATGTATCGAATGATGATAATTTCATAATTCTAGCATCAAAAGATAGCAAAAATATTTCACCATTCTTTAATATTAAAGATATATAATTACTATCATTAAATGCATCTTAATAAGAGAATTCTAAAGAGCTATAGATCATTCTTTTTTAATCACTGGATTGAAAGTTATTGCATTTTATAAATATGATAAATTAGGATTAAATTTGGAATTAAAACTAAGTATAAAGTTATAAATTATATGAAGATTTATAACTGAAAAGTTGGATAAATAAGGCAAAAAATCTATAAAATTAGTTTAACAAAAAATTTTACATATTAAAATTTTTTTTCTTTAGTAATGCTGGATTTAGTCATTAAAGATCAAATTAGGAATTGGAATCAATTTTACAATAATCGAATTTATCAAAAATCGATAAGAATCGATTTTAAATCGATTATCAAATAAAAATCGAATTTACTTATTGTGGCGCAGTAGTGTTAATAAAGATTTTCCTTACATACCCTAAAAGTATTGGCCTATTTGTCACACATTATTTGTCACATAGTTAATTTCTTAATTTCTTAATGCTGGCCGTTTCGTGACATTTTGGGGTAGTCTGTTAATAAGAAGTTAGGTCATTGTCACGTAACATTAACAAAAATCCAAAAAAAGAAAATTTTGTTATCCAATGAAATTCAAGTTATGTTATACAAAATTCCCAAAAAGGAAATTTTTTATGTTGATCTTAATAATTTTGATAGTCACGTAACCGGCAGTAGTATAATTTTAATTAATGATTAATCGACAATTAATCGATTCTAAAATCGATTCTAATAATGATAATCGATTCTAATCCATAGATCAAATATATATAATATTAAATTACTTATTTACAAAAATACAAGACGATATTAGTATTTTAATATATTTTTAAGTTTAAACCATTTCTAATATATTTATTTTAAAAAAAATTGATTAATTTACTTGAAAATTACTTAACATTAAGAATTTGGTCTACAATAATAGTTTTTTAATATATATAGTAATTTTCGCTGATTTTAAGACAGATTATAAATTAATTATTTAATTAATTATAAATATCTATAATTAATATAAATTTTCTGTTTTTTGCAAAGTTAAAATGATTAATTTCATTATAAATATTGATAACAAAATTTTAAATAAGTTAATTATTTTATAATTTGTAAATAATTAATATAATTAATATATTTTTTTTTTACTTTAGTTCTTTACCATATCAGCATTAAGCAAATAGTCTCATTAAAAATTATAAATCAATCTTATTTTTTTGATTTTTTTTACAAAAGATCTTTCTTAACATATTTGTTTGAACTTTAAAATATAAATTATATAAATAACAAAATAAATACCTTTTGATTATATTATACATAATTATTTGTGGTTTAGAATAAAAAAAAATAATTTAAAAAAATGATTAATTAAATATTATGTCAAATAAAAATAGTTTACTATTTTCACATAAAAGTTATAACCAAAATGCTCTTTAATTATTCAAATTTATGGAATAATGAGTTTCAAAATAATATTTACATTATATAAAATATATTTAATTTCTTTACAACTTTTTGAATTTTTTTATATAATATATTCTTAACAAATATACACTAAATATACCTTAAAAATATCTATTGTATCATTATATACTTGATTTTTTGCTAATTAATTACTAACTCCTTTTTGAGTATTCTTAATCTTCTCAACTTTTTTTTTATAAGCTTTCCATAATAAAATTTTTTTTTATAGTATATATTTTTGCTCTATAAGGACCCTATTTACTTTTAATAGAGATCTTCAAGAAAAATTTTAAATTTACTAGTAATTTTACCAGCAATCCTATTGGTTAATTAATTTAAAAAGAAAAAAAATCATAATAACTTAATGTAATATTTCCTTTTTTTTTTTAATAATTTATATATACTTTATTAATATTAAGTTTATATACCATATAAATAAATTATCATAAGTTATATTCACCCAGTAGGATGTAATATTTCCTTTTTTAGATGTAATTTATCTATATATGGTGCAAGTAAACTATACTCAACAATAAAATTGTAGTATTAAAAAATCTTATAAAATTTTAAAAAATAAATTTTAAAGAAAATAAACTGGTAGTTTTATTCTTCAAGACAAGTACTATCAAATTACCGGTCAGATTTTTGAAAAAAGATCTGTATAAAAAGTTATAGGCATTTCAAACTAGTGCTCCTAACAGATCAGTTCAGACCGGATTCAGCTTAAATCTGATCCGATCTGATTTTTATTTTAATAGATCTGATCTGATCTGAATCCGATCAGATCTGGTTCAATTTGATCCGAATCTGGTTCGGATCTATTTGAATCTGATTTGAATCTGATCCGAATCTGGTTCGGATCTGGTCCTTGTCCTAAAAAAAGGAAGGGAACGTTAATTACGTTCCTCAAGTAAAAAGAAAAAAAAACAAAAAAAAGAAATGAACTTA